GCTTGGAGCTGCCACCCATTGCCCTGGGTTTGCAGCAAGCCAGGAGTGCAATTAACACAGCTCAGCTGATGAATTGTAACCGGTTTAGCTGTCATAAATGATTGTATGCCGGGGGGTAGCCATAGCCTGAAACCGCCTCTGTCCCGCTGTACGCCCGCAGCACAAGGCTGTGTTGGAGTGATCTCCTTAAACCGTCGGTGATTTCCTCAAGCCCCCGGAGAGCTGTAAAAATCATCCCATCAAAAAGCAGCGAGGGAAAACGGCTTGGCTTGGGCAAGCGCTGCAGCTACATCGGGTGGCGACCAGCCCTTGGCTTGGGGGTGGATGCCACTGAGAAACGAGCTGGAAAAACCAACTGCCCCGAAGTGCAGGCGGCTCTTTCCTCTCGCTCCCAGCACCCCAAGGCCCGTCCGGTGCATGGAGTTTGCCAGGTTACCCAGCCTGGGGGGGAATTCACCTCCTCCCAAATCGAGGGCTGGCAGCACAGACCTTAACACTAATTTCTGTGCACTCTGCAGGCAGGCAGACACAGGTTTTGGGTTTGGGGTTTTTTTTTATTTTAACTGTTTTTCCAAGAGAGAACGCGTGTCTCGGCGCAGTAGGCTGACCCTGGGCAGAAGCAGGGCTGTCTGCACGCCACGCGCAAGCTGACAATTATTGTGTGAAAATTGCCAAAAATACGATGTGCGATGCCTCGGAGGGGCAACCAGAGCAGCTCCTGGGGGCTCCTGCATGGAAAACTCAGCACCAGGAGAAGGCGATGGGGGCCCCATTGCACAGGGTGCAAAGTTCACATTTGCATGTGCAGGAGCATCCGTGCCGTGGGTTCATCCCAAAGAGCTCCTGCACCCGTGAACAGGGGCACAAAAAGATTTTGGGGGGTGGTGGCTCTGCTCAAAGCCACAGGAAGGTGGCTTGTGGCCAGGAAAGCAACTGGTCATGAGAATTAAAACCAGTAAAGCTCATCAGGGGACCAGTCTGGCACAAATCCTGTCCAGGAATCCCTCCTGGTGCTCCCTCTTTGGCTTCGTGCAATGCCAGACCTGGCTTCTGCCTCTTTCTGATCCTCAGCTTCATGTGAGGAAGCTGAGGGTGGAGAAATAGCATTTGTAGAAAATAAAACAGCACAGCTCTTGAGGTGACTTCAATTTGCTCTTGTCTCCCTCTCTTTCAGAGCAGGGCCCGCTGCTCCCAGCCTATAAATCCTGATCCCGGAGGAGGCAACTGTGTGTATTTAAATATATATGCATTTGCCCTGCATTCATTTCCTCTCCCAAGTGATTGGTGACATGAAGAATTGTAATAGCAGAATGTATTTTTAATGCATTTCCTGCAGATTTCTGCAAGGGAATCCAATTCCTGGGTGACTTTCACTTACCACAAAGGCAGAAGACCTCAGGAGCACTGCTAATAGGCAGGGTGGGTTTTTCAATCTACCTTTTTAATGAGCTCCATCCATCTCTCTGATTAGATTAATCTCATTTATTTTAGCCAAGCCATCTAGCTGAAATCCCAACAGAGGAAATTGGGATTTTGAGTCTTTCAGGGTGAGCGCTTGAATGTCAGGCAGCAAAGTCCACAGGGACATTTCCAATTTGCCCTTTTATCGCCTTGGAAATTTGTAACCCCAACAATCACGTTGGACAGAGACTGTCTGAGCTGCAAACCTGTCTGCATCACCGACAGCGTGGACAACGCCGCCGAGAGCCTGAGCATCTCTGCCCCATTTTGAGCAACCCCCTCAAGAGAGCAAAACCAGCCCAGCAGGGAGGGCTCAGCTTTCCAAAAAAAAAAAAAAAAATCCCATTTTTCGGCAGGAGCAGGACAAGAGAGCGCTCCATGGATGGAGCATCCTCGCCAGCAGGATGGCCGTGCTTTTGCAAACCCACCGGCATGACCCCGCCAGGCACAGCGAGGCGGCGGTGGGTGGGAAGGGCCCACTTCTTCAAACAGAAATACCTGCGGCGGCCTGCAGCCAATGGAAGGGGAAATGGATTTTTTCGTTTAAAAGATGGCATTGTTGTTTCAAGCCTGACAAACGTGAAAGTTCCCATTTAAACGAGTCGAACCGGCAGTGAAATTGGTCACTGTTTGCACACCGCTGCACCGACAGAGGCAGCCGAAAGCAAACTTCTGGCGTATCCTGATCCAAATTACCTGGGAGCAAAGCTTAGCGAGCACAGCGCACCCAGCTGTGAGCAGCCGGGGAAGGCTCTCTCTGCAAAAAAGCAAACCCTGGCCCAACGGGAGAGGCGAAGCCCAGCTGGTGCTAGAGCCTCCCTGCTTCCAAAAAATGAGGGAATTTGGAGCCTACAAGCTACAGCTTTGGCTCTGTTAGAAATTCTCTTTCTAGGAGGAAGGCAATCAGGGCGGAGGGCAGAAAGTGTTAGCAGGTGTTTTGGGAGGGTGTGGAGGGGAGAGCGGGGGAAGCCAGGAGTTTTCCTCTGCCCCATCAGCCAGGAGAGCTATTTTTGCAGGAGCTCCTGGGGCACCAGACAAGGTCAGGATTGTTTCTGTGCTGGATGCTGGTGCAAATACGTGGGCAGGCGGCTGGATGCTGAGGAGCTCACAGCTTCCCTGCAGGCAAATGAAGTGGTGTTGTCCACCTTGTCCAGGTGAGAGGATGTCGTGGTGTCGGGTCTGCCGTAGCCCCTGGTTTCGGTTTGGGAGTCCTTTGGAGAGGCGAGCCTCTGCTGCGGCGATGGCTCTGGCGTGGGGGTGCAATGCGTGTATGCTGGCCGTAACACACCACGTGCTTTGCCATTGACCATCTATTAATTCCCTTCTATGTTGGTGTGTGACCTTTTCCATGAGACATCCCATATACGTGAGCTGGCTGTTGTCACCTCGGTCACGGCGCACGTGTCCGAGCAGTGGGGACTGGCCACTTTGAGCAAACCATCACCCATCCTGCCCAGCCTCCTGTGGCCAGCGCCCCATCTCAGGGCATTTCAGACCGATCCCGTCATCCCCATACTTAGGGGATGGGTTGGTGCTGGGTAAACTGAGGCTTGGAGGGGTTTGGTTCGTGGTCACGTAGGCAGCCTGGCCGGAGCCCAGGCGTTGTGGCCGGGAGACGTGTATGGAGCTGGGGAGATGCTCTTCGTGCCATCTTGCCCTGTTGGACACCCCCGGACCCAGAATCGTTTTGGGGCTCCATGTGCAAAGCACCGGTTCGCTGCCGGTGCCGCTGGCTCTGGGTAATCTTCGTATTTGCTGACTTTACTTAATTATCGCTCGGTGGAGAGCTCGGCTCTGGCAAAGCTGCGGTACGGGGAGGCCTAAACCACACACAGCGCTCAGGGAGGGATTTTGATCCAAAAAAAAAAAAAAAAGTTCAAAGGTGTTTTTGGCTTAATGCGGTTTATCTAAATTGCTTTATGTTCGTTAATCTGGATTAACACAAATGCTCTTGGAACGGCTGGCTGGGGAAGGGTTTGCTCAGCTATTCCAATGAGGACAGACTTTTCCAAAAATGAAAAGTTTGAGCTGGGAAGGAAAAAAAAAAAAAAGCCAGGTCCTGTGTGGCATTGAGTACGTGCGAGCACTGTGAACAGAGCAAGGCTGTTCTCATCCCCCCTGCCCCAATCCGTGGGTGCCTTCCAGGGTCACCCCTGGCACCTGCATACCCTAATGACTGAGCGGCTTCCCCCCTGCCAGCGGAGGATTAATTCCCCCTGTTCTCTCTGGGGTGATACGAACCCCTTTTTGGCTGGCGTGCCAAAGCGGTTGGCATGATTAGTTAGTGAACTTCAAGGTAAATTGGAGGTCAAGCCCAGATTTGAAGGTGGTGGTGGGCGCGAGTGTGACCCAGGGAACCATGTGATGTGGGCGACGTCCTGGAGAAGCAGGTGATCTCCCCATCCTCTCCTTTCCCCAGGGCTGGGATTAGGAGAGATTTTACAGCTGAGTGGCCGGTCTCATGTTAAAATTCGGTTTGCAGTGGCTCAGCCCCCCAGCCCCTCGTCAGGAAGGACCTTTTAGGTCTTTTGTGGCCGTTTTGCACGTTAGCAGGGCAGTTCATGCCTGCTGGGGACCTGTCCCTGGCAGGGATCACCCCTTTGCATCCATAGGGACTTCCCACCTTGAGAATGCACAGAGAAGGACCTAAGTGTGGAAATTGGGATGCATAGAAGAGGATTGCAAAGCCCAGCGCGTTGGAGAGGGCTGTCTCGTGTTTGTGCATTTCCCTGGGATCTGGGTGCACTTTCCTGCCCTGCAAAAGCTTCTTGTGCAGCCTCAGGCAGGTCCTTGCACCTTGGAGCGCGGTTCCTCCCATGCAATGGGGAGAGCAACCCTTTCCACCAGCTGCCCATGATCAAAGGTGCTTGGGTGTCATGGGGAGGGAGCTGGAGACCCGGTGGGGACCGATGGATCAGCTCCATGAAGGACCCAGCTCCGGCTCTCGGCAGCTGCAAGTGGCAGCAGGAAAGCGAAGCTCTCCTGCCGAGCTGAAATGGAAGTTGTAAGCAGGACCTGGGCGCTGCCCAAAAAACCAGGGGACTCCCTCCTCCCCCTGCCCCAGTGCAAACAGCAGATTAACAATTTATTTGACGTGTTGCGGCTGGTTAGTTTCTTCACCCGCTCCCCTGATCAGAGGGAATAAATGTTGCAGTGTGCAATAATGTTCATTTCAGGTGAGGGTAAATATAGAAAGGAAAACCTGCTGAGAGTAAGCCATTTATTTCTGCGTTTGGAAGCCTCTGCTCATAAACAGTCAGTCATACCCATTTGGAAAATCCCAGCGTGGTTTTCTTGGCCATCCTAGAA